CTCCTACTTCTACGACCGCACTAAGCCGCTCGGCATGCCCGACTCCTTCACCCTGCGCGAGATGCACGACCTTGCCAACTCCGTCTGCGGCGGTGAGAAGTCTTGGGATCTCTTTGCTAGCATTCCTGGTGCCATGAAGGAGTTGCAGGACCGTCCTGAGCACTGCCTTGACCTCAACTTCATGATGGCTCTTCTCCACACCGGCTACGAGATGCCTATAGACCGTGAGGTCAAGATTGCCAAGAAGATCAAGGGTAACGAATTGGGTTGGTGCCTTGGTGCCAGGTAAGATTTGATTCATCGAGTGGAAAGTTTACAGAAGCTAAAATATCACAGCTTGCCTCTTCTCTCCCCCGGATCTGGTTGGAAGTGCAGAGTCAACCAGGTCAACTAGATGGGTGACCTAACTGGCGACAAGATTGCGCAAGCCTCCCCTGGTGTTGGCTGGCTTGTAGTATTATAGATTTTTAATTCCACGACAGAAATGGGAAGTTCGATTACGAATAAGTGTATTTGAGAACAACGAACGTTACAAGGTAGATGCAGGAAACGCATCAGTACACGGATCGACGGCAGGCGTTCCATGTCTCGAATGGTTTCCCATGGGTATCAAGGATAAAGACTCGTCAAGACGTAGCTATTGATTAGAATCAACCACACTCGCTGGACAAATAGTCAGATTTGCCTTCAAAGCGGTGCCGCCACCATGTTTATCACGTCTTCGATTACGTCCTCGGCGCCCACGCCTTCAAGAATGGATTCGATGGCTTCCTGCTGGCTGCCCCACTGCATGCTCCTTTCCTGTTTTGCGTGCACGATCCGGATCCGATGCAGATAGATTTTCCTAATAGCCAAGTGAACGAGAGCCGGCGTCACAAAGTCCAGGCTATGCAAGGGGGCGAGGCATCTCAGCAGCTGGTCGAGATGCTTCGTTGCAATCGGTTCGATGCCGCCGGCAACTGCGCGGTGCATCCTCAGATATGTGACAATGTTCATTTGATAGCGTAGCACATCCACGTTGACCTGGACTTCTCGGCTCAGCTTGGCCAAAGACGCGATGTCCTGCCAAAAAGTTAGCCGCAGGGGAGACCAAATACCACGCGAAAGTTCACTTACACCTTCACTTAAATGGGGATCCTCGCTGATGGCCATAGTCTCCTCGTGGATGCTCTTCTTCACCACGCTTTCGGTGCTGGCAGTCTCGGCATCGTCAGCTTTGTCGTACGCTTCATCCAGGTTGGCAAAGCCGTCGTCTGGGTCGTGCCAGTGGGCGATGAAGAAATAATCGTTCAGGTGCAGCGTAACGTGAGCCTGGCCTCCGCTCTCGGCGGCCAACGCAGCCACGAAAAGGAACTGCTTGGGAGCGGTCTGGACGGAGGTGCGGGTGAAGATGCGGCGGGTGCGTAGGAGCTCGAGGACCTGAATCTGCACGGCCTTGGGGGCGCGGTCCAGGTTCCGGGCGAGGATGACATTGGCGATGGAAGAACCGGCTGCGCCGCTGGGGCCGGTTGGGCTGTAGGCGTTGACGGCGGTCAGGGGCGAAATACCGGCGCGGGAGTAGAAGTAGGAGTCGTTGCGCGTGCGAAGGGGTGAGCCTGATCTGGTGGCTGTGGGCGACTGCGCTATGAGGATGGAAGATGCAAAGTCCTCCAGGGTGGTTTGCGGAGAGCAGTCCACGATGGCGCACGTCAGACCAAAGGTCTTTGTCGCGATCTGCAGGCAGGTTAGAGATGTGAGCAGCGGGACGGCCGCAACAAGTTGGCTTACAAGCTGAAGCTCCTCGATAAGTTCATTGAGGGCGACAGGAGGAGTGCTGACGATACAGTGTTCTCGGTTGACCAGGCACAAGAAGGCGGCGAGCTCAAGGTCGCTCAGGCCGTGGACCTTGGTCAGGAGATCTTCTTCATCCGCCATGAGGATCGGGTGAGATGTGTCTCCAAGGTCCCATCAGCGCATTTTGGGCTACGAACGTAGTCTCGTGTGTTGTTCGTCCACAGCATATATGTGGTGTGCGACTAGGTGAGGTAGAGACAGGCGGGAGAGGTCTTGGTGTTCGCATGAGTTTTGAGCATAAGGTAATAAGGTAGTCAGGGCGTGCTCTTGCTGAGCTCAGTTGGCCTGGACCGTCGTTGAGTTGAGAAGGAGCATTATGTGTGGCTGGAGAGACGCTTTGCATGCAGCGGGCAAGGTACAGCGCATTGAGCAGTTCATTCCCACAGAGCCCACAGCGCCCACAGCGCCTGAGTCGTTACGTCAGCCACAATGACAACAGAAGTAACGCACCTGACGATTTTGCGCAGGTAGACACTCGGAGCCCTTCCTGGTTAGTCCCAGCACTGGAGGCAGCTCTTTGATAGGCTGAAACCTGGAAATGTGACGGGAGCTCTCAGTACCGCCTGGTTCCCTGTCAACCTCCACCATGACTTTCCGTCCATCGATCTACTGCGTATCGACCTGCACTTGACACCAACCAACCACCCCTGACCGCAAGACGCCGGTCCGTTTTCGATCACCTTGACGTCCGAACCGATAAGAAACCCAACCCGCGACCGAAACTTTCATACCTCTACGTAGAACGACCGACTGTTGACGCCGACACTTGTTGACCATCCCAAACTCTACATACTCCTCCAACGAGGCAATCGATTCAAAATGTCATCGAGAAAGAAGGTCCTTCTCAAGGTGGGCTCTCCCCTCCCAGCGCTGCAGCATATCATGGCACGGCATAATTGACGAGGTTGTTTTCGTGCAGGTCATTATCCTTGGCGATAGCGGTGTCGGAAAGACGAGTCTGATGAACCAATATGTGAGTTTCCGTGGATCAAGCAACACCCGGGAGGAGACTGGTGGCGCTGACGTGAATGTTTCACCCAGGTCAACAAGAAGTTCAGTGCAAGCTACAAGGCCACCATCGGCGCCGACTTCCTGACGCGCGAGGTTCTCGTCGACGACCGACAGGTGACGATGCAGGTGGGATTAGACCGACACAACGACTGATCCATGATCCAGACATGTGCTGACGAATGGACGACAGCTTTGGGATACGGCAGGACAGGAGCGCTTCCAGTCTCTGGGCGTCGCTTTCTACCGTGGTGCCGACTGCTGCGTGCTCGTATACGATGTCAACAACTCCAAGAGTTTCGATGCTCTGGACAGCTGGAGGGACGAGTTCTTGATCCAGGCTTCGCCACGGGACCCGGACAACTTCCCCTTCGTTAGTAGCTAATGACACTGGACTGTGCGAATCGAGGCTGATGTGCGACCAGGTCGTTCTTGGAAACAAGATTGATGTTGAGGAGAGCAAGAGAGTTGTAAGTGCGCCAAAGTGGTTGTTCTCGGTACAGTTGGCTAACGTGATTGTAGATTTCAACCAAGCGCGCCATGACCTTTTGCCAGTCCAAGGGCGGTATTCCCTACTTCGAGACCAGTGCAAAGGAGGCAATCAACGTTGAACAGGCATTCGAAGGTTGGTGCAGCGTTATCTATGAGCCTCCGTAACGACGAGTAGGCACTGACAACATCAACTAGTTATCGCGCGGAACGCTCTGGCCCAGGAAGAGTCCGAGGAGTTCAGTGGTGATTATCAGGACGTCATCAACATCCCCATCGAAAACCCCCGAGACGGATGTTCTTGCTAAGTTGCTATTGGGTAAACAGTTGGTTGATGTTGGCGAGTCGAGGACTAGGGCGGCACACAGTATTAGGACCCTGTCCGACTCGCATTATGTTTAGTCCAAGGGCCTTTCCACATATCCATTTTTGGCCTTGGCTTGATGTTGCATATCCTGCACTGGTGTGAAAGGTGTTTAGAGGTTATTATTGGAATTTGATCAAGGGTTTATTCGTCTGGTCCCAACAACTATTCGCCTTCTGTGTCATGAATAACTTATCACGCCTCCAACTATGCTTGAGTAATGGTCCCTGGGCAAGAGGACCCGCAACCGGCAAAAGGATGCCTGTTCACAACATTCCATCTCAACTAACAAGCGCAGGGCCCGGGTGGACAACCGTCTGTCCCATCATGTATTCATCAACAGTCCGAGCTGGCGGATCATTCTTGCCGTCCGTCATCAGACTCCGCTTAGAAGAATGGATCCGAGGCTACACTAAAGCCCCAAGGCTGGAAACCGGCACTAATTCCAGCCTGGCAGCCAGTGCTCTCTGTAAGCTTCATGCGAGGCGTCATGCTTGGCTTTGTCCAGCGGCGGCAGCCTAGAGGAAGAGGAGGTTGCATCTTTTGCTTTAGGTACCTTGGGATTTAGTAAGTACCTTCCCTTACATACAGCAGAGAGACTCATCTCACTTGCTCCCTTACCTTAGCCACCTGCTATGGGTACTGAGGGCGGCTGAGACTTGAAGAAGTGGCACGCGATCGACCCACCACTATTGGTTGCCGGTACTTGGGACGAATACAGGGGGTGTTTTCGCCCGTGCCATTGAAACTCAACCTTGAAGAAACACCCTTAATTAACACATTGACACGAATCCCTTGAAAGTAAACGCTCCAGCGACGAAAAAAATAACGGACGACGCGTCTGCATCAGAGAAAGCTCGCCAGGCTTCCTCGAGTGTTCGCTTTGTTTAGAGTCTTTTCGCCGGTCTCCAGTGAATCGCTCCATAATCGTCATCGCCTTCAACCCGACGGCCCGAGAAGCAGTTGGCATACGGCATATCCGTGCCGTGCTACACATGCGCCGAGTCGAGCGACGGGACATTCGGCCACCGTCCGCCCCCCTCTGAACGCAATTGCTCTGTGACGACTTTCCGAGAGTTCGCCCTGCTCTTCGCCGACCCTGCGGTCAAATGCCTACAGCTTCGACAGCGACCCTGGATTACCTTAAGGCGGACAGTCCTCCCTGAATCCTCGAACTCCTCCTGATTACCTACCTACCTACCTCTCTCCCCCGACGATACGTCGTGCGACGACAGATTGCGAAATCGCCCGAAACGAAAATGGCACCGAGCGAGCCTATGCTGCCCGCCGCGTTGGCACCACCAGATCATGACCGTCCTCCGAGGAGGTCATTCTCGAGCACCGACAGGCTGAGCGCCTCGGTTGCGTCTACAAATCGGTCGAGATCGACGGTGCGGTCATCCGGATGGCAGGCAAAGATGGGACTGGGCGGCGTTGCGAGGCGGACGCTAGGCATTTCGCTGTTGCTCGTGACAGTGTTGTTGTGGACGATATCCAACTTTTTGGCATCTGTGAGTTTTTGGCAGTGTTGCTTTCGTTGGCGCGAACTGGCGCAAGCTGACAGTGAGGGGGACACAGTATATTTTTTCAGATCATTCTTACGACAAGCCATTTTTTGTGGTGTATATGAATACGTCAGTGTTTGCGGTGTCTCTGATACCCATGTTGGTGCGTTTTCTGATGCTGCACGGTGTCGAGGGTCTACGACGTGAGGCCATGGTGGTCTGGAACGAGCAAAGGTACGGCAAGGACCTTAAGACGGCCGAGGATGAGGAAGACACGGTGGCGGGGGAGCGCCTGCTGGTCGACGATGAGCCGAGCCTGGAGATGGAAGGGTTTGAGACAACGACGAGGGTGGAGCGGCTCACGTTCCGGGAGACGGCCGTCATCAGCCTCGAGTTCTGCATGCTGTGGTTCTTCGCAAACTACTTCGCGTCGGCGTGCCTCGAGTACACGAGCGTCGGGAGCGTGACGATCCTCAACTCGACGAGCAGCGTGTGGACGCTCGTCTTCTGCGCCGTGATGGGGGTCGAGGGGTTCACGGCGCGCAAGCTGATTGGCGTGCTGGCGTCGCTGACAGGTATCGTGCTGATATCGACGGTGGACCTGTCCGGGTCGAGCGACGAGAACCGCGGGTCGTTCCCGCACAAGACGACGGGGCAGATTGCCATTGGGGACCTGATGGCGTTTGTGAGCGCCATCATCTACGGACTCTACGTGACTGTGATGAAGAGGCGGGTAGGCAACGAAGATCGGGTGAATATGCCGCTCTTCTTTGGACTCGTTGGACTCTTTAACTTGGTGTTCCTCTGGCCCGTCTTCTTCATCTTGCACTTCACGGGGATGGAGCCGGTAAGTCACACCACGCGCCTTTTCCTCATGGACTTTGAGAGTGTCTAATCAAGGTTGCCACAGTTCTCGTTTCCTCCTACGGCCAAAATCTGGGCCATTGTCATTGGCAACTCGCTATCGTCCTTCATCAGCGATATGTCATGGGCGTACGCCATGCTGCTCACGACGCCGCTAGTCGTGACGGTCGGTCTGTCTCTCACTATCCCGCTGTCGCTCATTGGCGAGATGATACAGTACTCGCAGTACTCCAGCTGGGTGTACTGGGTCGGCGCGGCTGTGGTGCTCATCTCGTTTCTGTTTATCAATAACGAGAGCCACGAAGACGAGTCAAGCGACAAGAGCCCCGAGGCAGGATCCCGGGGCGTCTCGCAATTATGAAAAAGGATGTTCCTATAGACACAAAGTTGTAATTCGAGAGCAGACAGAGGCGCGGGGATCTAGACGTGTTGCAAAGGCTAGGGCGTTAAGACACGGCGTACGGTGCTTCCCTTGTTGGATTCCGCCTGGAGCGCTGTTGAGGCTGAGCTGTTTGCTCAGTCTCTTCATTAATACAATCAACTTGCATCATATCGTGCCAATCAACGCGTGTGAGACCCATTCCTCGAAATCTTGTGTCAATCATTGAAGGTCATGGTGATAGTATATGAGTAAGGCACGGCGTCAATTTCACGTGGCACGCATGGGAGGGAATGACCTCTTAACGAAGCCCATTTCCATATACCAAGGCGGATGATTCGGAAGAGCTGTCAGGCAAAAAGAGGTGGTCCCGAGTGGAAACGTAATGCAGCTGCGGTGGAGATATTGCATCGCAATGGGTGAACCCGCGGAGTTTTTCTCTATTGACTGGCCGGTCGGTCGGTGAGAGGATGAGCGCGCCGAGGTCAAGGTGCAGCTGTAGTGTGACTTTGGAAAGACTGGGAAGGTCGGTCGAGCACGACAAGACGGGATTTTGCAGAATCCGATGGCGGATTTGAGTAAAATGCGATGCATGGGGCCTTTTTTTTCTGCTATCTTCCTTGATTTTGTGAGGGGAGGGGGGGTGATCTGCAGACGCATGGAGACAGCCGCGCAATCGGATTCGCCGCTGGGTACTTGAAGTCTCCAGAATGTTTTTGAATATATGTGGCACAGTGATCCTATACTTCCCCCCCCTGCTCTTTTTTTTTTGATAGAGTTGCGGGAAACTGGGAAAGTTTGCTGTGACTTTGATTTGGCGTCTTTGGCATGTGCGGTATCAAGGAAGGCCTGGGATTCTTTCTTGGGTTGCATTGAGGTTAGAGGTGGGCAGAAAATATCGGAAAGCAGTCTGTAAGGGATAGAGTCTAAGAAAATCTCTTGGGGCTCTATCTGACTGGATTGCAACCAAACATGATGCGGAAAGAAGTGCGAATTAGTTGGCGACAATTGAAAGGAGGTAAGTAAGGTGTACTCTGTTGACAAGGTGATAAGGAACCTAGCTTGGAAGGTATTAGAGGCACAAGTACACTAGAGAAAGGAGGGATCACTTGTTGGCGCCGCGGGCAGCAAGCCTGAAGGGCGCTTGACATCGTGGGGTCCTGCCAGAGTTGATGGCCCGCAGGAAAGCCGATCGCTGGGGCGCGCTTCCTCCTGCAGATGGCCCAGTCGCTATTCGGTATGCATTGGTCTAATTTATTGTACATGGCCGTGATGGAGGAGCCTACACGAGCTAAAGGGTCCAAGGGTTGCATAACTCGTGTTTCGTTAGTCTTGCCAGCTCCTTGTCCTGCTATTCCCGCCTTCCAGGTTTTCGGAGATCGAGACATAAGACATTTGGACTCATCAAGATGAGAAACGCATCAGGCATGAATATGAAGAAACCATTGGCATCTGTAAAGCGTTCAGAAACAAGGAAAAGGGCAAGCCACAGTGGACTGCTTGGCTGCGCAAAAATGTCGGGCATGCGGCGTCGCAGGCAGCGTACTGTAGCAATGGGAAAATGTTCGATTGGAATCCAGCCCGATGGATAAAAGTGGTCCCTTACGGGGCGAGACCGCGAATGATCAAAAGCCATAGGACCCAAAGACCCCTGACCCCTGACCAAATGGAGGTCCTCCACAACCCTCGCCCCCCGCCGGGTCCCCCTCTTCGCCCTCGTTTGTTTGCTTGCTCGCTCCACGGTAAGGGAGGGTACCCGAACCGCATTTCCATTTCCTTCTCGTGAGGGTTTCCCATGCAACGAAAAAGGCGAAATTTGCCATGCCGTGGCGGGGGGGGTTATACCGAGGTTCTACGGATGTTCCTCTGGTGTGTATGCTGATATGATTCAAGGCTATGTAAGCTGCTCAGGCACAACTACGGATACTACTTGTCCACGAGACCTCGACGCGATGCGACAAAGCATAAAGAGATGACATCAATTTTGGGAATAGTTCCCGTCAGGCAACAGATAACCCCGATCTCCATCTCAGACATCTTCTCTTTCTTTTACCTGCACCTGCACCTGCACCCATCACCCCAAGACCAGACCTGAGCTAACACCCGATACGATCTTGGACGTGGCCCAGTCGATTTTCAAGATTCCATGCTGGAGGTGCGCACTAATAGCTTTCCGAGCTTCTCTCGTCCACATCGTCTCGCCGAGACTAGCTTCTTCCAACCCCGTTTGCCGGGCCCTGCTCTCCTGTCCCCGGCTCCTTTGGATCTTAAACTTTTCTGTCTCTTCAATACCTTGCTTGTTTTCCCAGCTTGCATGCCAATCAAAGTGGAATCTCTCCGGACAACACTAGTCCCAAGTTCCCAACCCTTGGGGACCTACCCGAACCCTCGACCGCGAAAAGAAACAGAAAAATCCAAGCTCCCGGGAAAGTCTCACTCCTCCTTGTGAAGAGCAGGCACATCGCATGCTGGCCCGGGTAACCGACCACTTTTATCAGAGTATCAGAGAGGGATACCTACCGCTAAGGTATCCGTAGCTCCAGCAGGAAAGAAAGCTCTGACGTCGCCGCCTTCTTCTCCATATGGTCGGTACCCTTCCGTCTTTGCCACCCGCTACTTCTCTTAGCCGTTGCTACCTACCCAAAGCGCAACTGCCACTGGTTCAGCCTCTCCCAGGGAAAGAAAAGAGAGAGACACACACTCCCTACTCGATCACTGCCCTCGACAACCTACTGAAGATCGACGCTACCGCTTCCGTTTGTGGTTTTCGTCCGTTCTGTCCCCTTCCAAGGTCCTTCTACTTTATCTTGCGTTACGCCTTGATCTCGTCGAGGAGGCCTCGAGGAGGAGCAGCAGCAGACAAGCAAGTCTTCTAGGACTACTGGCTACCTACTCTTCTGTCTCTGCTCCTGTCTACCATACTATCGGTACACTTTGACTCTCGACTATCAACCGCATCACCTCGGAACCTGTGTCACCCCAAGCATTCATTATCCTGCTATTCACCGATCTGGACGAGGGGTGCTTGGTTCCCGTACGAATACACCCCCTACGCCACGCCCCTATTTCGTTTTCCTGCACGTTTCCTAGAAGCCACCAGCCGCACCTCTCCGTCACGGGAGGCTTGACAAACAAACGGCGCCGCCCCGGTGCCCGTGACGATGACCTCACCAGCCGCAAAGCCGGCCGAAGATACACAACGTCCCTTGGCCGAGTCTATCGCCGCCGCGACCCGATCTGTCCATGCAAAGCTTAACAAGATTATCATTGCTCGCCTGCCCTTGGCGATCCCACCCCGCGCGGCAGATCCCTCACTCTACGCTTCTGGCCTCCTTCACATCACACCCATTTACGACACCTTTGAGTCACTATGGAAGACCATCGCGGAACCACCACAACTTCTCACACCTGGCGAGGCCGGTGACGACTGTGAATTAGGCCAAGCTGAGCTTACATCGGTGTCGAACGCTGACTCAAACCTACGACACCAACCTGCTCTATGCGAGCGAACTCGCTCGATACTAACGTCGCTGTACCTACCTGGACTCATGCGTTCTGATCGTCTGCGAGCCGACATTGGTTCCATCACCGGATGGTCACCCGATGTTGTAGACGAGCAATTGTCAGTGATCTCTCAGTCAGGGCGCCTCGCTGAGTTCACAATGCACGTTAGGCGCACCATTGAGAAGAAGCCTCATGTCCTCCTGGCGTACTCGTACATCTTGTTCATGGCCCTCTTTGCCGGTGGACGTTTCATTAGAGCCACCCTCGAGTCTGCGGGTTCAGAATTTTGGGAGCAGACGTCGTCGCCCATTCCACCCTCAGAGACACCCTGTCAAGAACGTACACCATCATCAGACACGG